GAGGGGCGGCGCTCGGCTTCCCAGCCGCCTGCAGGGCGTGGGAGGGCGGAGGCTGCGAACCTCCGGGCAGCGCCCCTTCCCATGGCTCCCCTTCCCTAGCCCTTTCAGCCAGTCGGGGCAGGCGGCGCGGACGGGAAGGCTGCAGGGCCGGGGAACCTGGCGTGCGGGGCTCCGGGGACTGCCCGATGTGGGCTGCATTTGCGGGCAGCGCGCCCTGGCCATGCAGAGCAGACTGCGGATCTTCCACCCGCAAGGAGCTCAGGTGAGTGGGAGCTGTGGCTGTCTGGGACCCAGGAACCAGGGCCTTCAGGTCTCGCTTCCTTTACTCCCAGGGAGCGCAACCCCAATCCCTTCCCCACTAAGACCCCAGGAGTCTCCTCCACCTCCCCACCTCTGCTCCTCCAGGAACCAAGGTCCCTCATTCGGTCCTGGGCCACCAGCTTGTCCCCTTCTGCTCGGACTGTCCGTTCCTGTTACCTCAGTGGTTGACTCAGCCCCTCATAGACAGGTACATCTGAGAGAGGGGTTGGTAGAACACAGACCGGCTTCAGTGGACCTTATGCGTGAGGAGATGGGAGACTCCCAGAGATGGAGGTCAACGTACCAGACCCTCAACCATTGCTGTCTTGGAAACCGCCAATTTTCATGTCTTCCATCTCCCTGCCCTGAGATTCCAAGCTTCTCATCCCTCAAACCTAGGATTCAGGCACCTAGACTCCCTCTACCTCAAACCCCGAAATCTAAACCTTTAGTTTCCTCATTCTCTGAGATTGGGAGTCCCGGATCCCAGCCCTGTCCTCCCTGACATGCCTCCTCAGGCTCTGAACAGCCGCTAATTCACCTTTCCTCCCCTACAGCCATGTGGCCCCCCAGCCATCGTAGGCTCTGCTTGGCCTTCCTGGTAGTGTGTATTTTCTCAGCAATTTCCTTCGTCTTCCATATCCACCAAGATCTCTTTCGAAATGGCCTACACCTGTCTGTCCTGTGTCCAGACCACCACCTGGTGACATCCCCTGTGGCCATCTTCTGCCTGCAGGGCACACCGCTGGCCCCCAATGCCTCTTCCTGTCCTCCAAACCCTGCTTCCCTCTCAGGAACCTGGACTATCCACCCAGATGGCCGGTTTGGTAACCAGATGGGGCAGTACGCCACACTGCTTGCCCTGGCCCAGCTTAATGGCCGCCGCGCCTTCATCTTGCCAGCCATGCACGCTGTCCTGGCCCCTGTCTTCCGCATCACCCTACCCGTACTGGTGCCCGAGGTGGACCACCACACGCCTTGGCAAGAGCTGCAGCTACATGACTGGATGTCAGAGGAATATGCCCACTTGAAGTATCCTTTGCTGAAGCTCTCTGGCTTCCCCTGCTCTTGGACTTTCTTTCACCATCTTCGGGAACGGATCCGCAGCGAGTTCACCCTGCATGACCACCTTCGGGAGGAGGCCCAGAGTTTTCTAAGTCAGCTCCGCCTGGGCCACACTGGAGAGCGCCCGAGCACCTTCGTGGGTGTACATGTGCGCCGCGGTGACTATCTGCACGTGATGCCCCATCGCTGGAAGGGTGTGGTGGGCGACCAGGTCTACCTCCAACAGGCCATGAACTGGTTCCGGGCACGGCATGAAGCCCCCATCTTTGTGGTCACCAGCAATGGCATGGAATGGTGCCAGGAAAACATTGACACCTCTCAGGGCGATGTGATCTTTGCTGGCAATGGGCAGGAGGGTTCACCAGGGAAAGACTTTGCGTTGCTCACACAGTGCAACCACACCATTATGACGATTGGCACCTTTGGTTTCTGGGCTGCCTACCTGGCTGGTGGAGACACTGTCTACCTGGCCAACTTCACTCTGCCAGACTCTGAGTTCTTGAAGATCTTTAAGCCCAAGGCTGCCTTCCTGCCTGAGTGGGTGGGTATTAATGCAGACTTGTCTTCGCTCTAGACATTGGCTACACTTTGAGAGTCAGGGAGACTTTTTGGAATAGACTAATCAGTCTAGAGCTGGTGGTACGTGTCTCTGGAGGCCTGAGAGCTTCTGAAGAAGCTTGTGGTGGTCCTGAAGTAGGTGTGCATCAATTGCCAGAGTGATTCTAGTTGGCCAGACTTGGAGAGAAAGGGAGACTTTCCAGAACTTCCTGAACATTCTTGAACCAGCAGAACATCTTTTCCTGATGGTTGACAATGTCTGGAGAAACTCATGGCAGTTCTAGAAGCCACAGTACCCACTTGCTCTTCCCAGCCCATATCCAGAGAACTTCTAAATGGCTGCCCCCCAGGAACAGGGAACCCCCCTCTAGTGTTGACCATTCTGGTCTTTTCTAGAAGAGGTGTTTCTCCCCTGGGTCCTCAGAAGACTAAAGGAACTCATGGTTGTTATAGAGCAAGCACTTACCTACTCCCCTTCTGTTTATGGAGTGATTCTAGAATAGGATTTTTTTTTGTTCTAGAGAGGGCCAGGTCTAATGCCTGTGAAAAGCCCTGCAGGGCTTTTCCAGAGGAGAAGGGGTTCTGAAATTCCAGATAACTTCAGTGAAGAATCTAATGAAGGTACAACTGGAAACGCAGTGCCAGAAAAAACAAAAATATGGAAAACAAACTATATCTCCAGGTGGCCAGCATCTTTTTCTGCTCACAAGCTCTGGAAAAGCTGGGATAGTTGGTGAGCAGAGTGGAACTCCATCCAATCCCTCTACCCCTGAGAAAGGTTCAAAGACTTTTTTGGAGCAGACAGGCTAAAATGTGTGTGTAGGGTTGTGGAATGGAGTAAGAAATAGCTGCTAAAATTCTGCAGAACTTCTTAAAAACCCAGGGATGCTTTTTTCTAAGCTCAAAAACTTCCAAAGATTGGTACAGCATATATTGGCTACAAGGTTAGGTTGCCTCTTAACAATTAAGGACGTTTCCTCCTCTGCAGCTAGGCTGCTGGGGGTCTGGGATCTGTTTTCTGGAAGTCAGCAGGCATAAACATGCCCTCTGGGCTTGTGGAAAGCTGGAGGGTTCTGTGTCCCTTGCCAACCATTGTCTGCCCCTCAACTGACAGAACCACTAACTCTGGCTTGGGCAGGTCTGGGATGAAAGGACACAAAGTATGCAGACCCCAGACCTAGCCTCAAACCCAGGCAAGAGCACAGGGTCTAACCAAGGAAGATGGGGTTCTTGACTCATTTCAGGAGCCTCTGGCTGCCTTGCAGAGGGTGAAGGAAGATACGTTTAATACAGTCAACTCCCATCTCCCATCCATGAACCTAAGCCTCTCAGCTTCTCAGGGAGTTTCAGGGCACCATTCCCAACTCAGCTCTCACAGGTAGGAGAGCAGGAAGCATGAATTAAAAGTCCAATCGCTTCTAGGCTTTTTGGCTAAGGCATAGTATAGAATCTATTCTTACCTGTTTAATATCCGATATGTCTTATACCTGAGGACAATATATTAAATGGATTTTTGGGGGCTGGGAGATGGAGTAGGAGGTTGCTCCATCTGGTCCACATATCAACCTGGTATTGCAGTGCCTCCAGGATGATGCATCACCTGGGGAGGAATCAGTAAAACTTATTAAGTCCACATCACCAACCCGTCTCTGCAGCTCTTTTGGGGTGTGTGTGTGTGAAAATGTGTAAGAGAGTGGAGGGAAAGGTGGGGAGCTTCTAGGGACTTTTAATTACTCATGATGTCTTGGGGTGTTGTATCTACTCATATCTGGCAGCCCCTTGTTTCTGGACTTGTGTGAGTTGTCCTCCCTGTTTTGGGGGTGCCCTCTTTGAATCACTCATAAAAGTAAGGAGAGAGAGAGAGAGAGACCTTCCAGGACCCAAAGGTAAAACCCCCACTTCCTTTCTCTGGGACCCTAAGTATTGGCCCCCAGACCTTTCTTTTTTCTTTTTTTTTTTTTTAAGATGACTGGTAAGGGGATCTTAACCCTTGGCTTGGTGTTGTCAGCACCGCACTCTCCCAAGTGAGCTAACCGGCCATCCCTATATAGGGATACGAACCTGTGGCCTTGGTGTTATCAGCACCACACTCTCCCGAGTGAGCCACAGGCCGGCCCAACCTTTCTTCCCACTGGGGACCTCTACAACCAGCCCCATAGGCTGGGGAGAGAAGGTGGAGGAGGAAGTGAGCACAGAATACAATTGTTGAACTACATTTCCCATAAAGCAATGGGGCTGGTGGCGCTAATTGGCTGCGGAGAAAGACCCCAGAACCTTCTGGGAATTGTAGTCCTAGAGTAGAAACGCCAGGATTCCAAAGCGCAGAGGGCATCTAGGTAGAAGCTTAAGTCCTGGGGCCAAAAGAAGTTAGGACGCTTACGGCCATAAGCCCGGTCCTTCGCTCTGGAAGCTGAAGCAGGCAGGTTGCTTCTCCTGGAAGGTGGTAGGTGCTGGAAAACTTCTAGTTCAAAACGGCGGCTGCCTATGTGATGTCACGGAGAGATAGGCGGGGCCTCCCTTTGTTGTGGTCCAATCAGGGTCAGAGTTGGGCTTATGGGCGGGGCCAAGGAAACCCCCTTGGGATGTCTCTTAGGGAATTCGGGACCCCGCTTGGGATGGTCGGAGGAGGGAGAGGCAGGAGTTCTTTGTAGAAAGGGGACGCCTGTGACTCAGACCCCAGTGGAAAAATTATCGGTTCCACTCAACCATCTTCACCCTCGTCCCGAACAAAAGCCTTAATTTTATTATTTTTTGTTTTTTTATTTTTTATTTTTTTCGCCTTAATTTTAGCTATGGGAAAATATTAGAGTAGAAGGTCGTCACTCCAGACTGCTATACTAAAGCCCTCAAAGCCTGGGACGGGCTCCTCAGCGAACCCTAGTGTTGGAGGACGCAAGTCAGGAATCGAGGTCGGAGAGCGCCGGTTCAGGGCGCATCGCGGCTCCTCCATTTACTAAAGAAAAGGGTGCCCTCCCGATTGAGGGTCTGTTAGTCCTGGGGAAGGGTAGACAAGGGCCTCCCGGATCTGGAGGACGGCTTGAATTCTTGCTTAAGTTTTTAGGGTTCCCAGGTTAGGGATTTGGAGTGTATAAATTAGTTAGTTCTGTATTGAATTTTTTTTTTTTTTTGCGGCTGGTTGGAAAGGGGACCCGAACCCTTCACTTTGGTGTTGTAACACCAAGCTCTAATCAACTGAGCTACTCTGCCAGCCCTTGGGATGGTTTATTTGGTTTGGACATTGAGTTTTCGGCTAGGTGCAGGAGGTTTAGGGGGGTTTGGAGGGAGGGTCTCATTGTTGATCCACCTCCGGTTTGAAGCTCAGAATCACATCAATTTGGGGAGTTGGGTATACCATAGTTGGAGTTTGGGAAGGAGTGCATGGGGTGGGGGGTTCGGGGGCTGAGTTTGGGGACTGGCGGGTGTATACTGTTTAATAGTTTACTGATCTCTCGGTTGGGATGCAATGAGGACCCCAAATTTGAGGTCCCCTAGATTAGGGATTCAGTTTCACACTTTGGAGGAATTTGAAGATCCTTATTTCGCAGTTTAGGGACCCTGTGGATGGTGGGGCCAGTGGGGTTCCCTAAGATGGGCTTTGGCTTCTTTCCGCTTAGCGTTCACCTGGTCTCGTTTTGGGGTGAGAGGACCTTCTCTGGAGGTCTTCGGGGACCGTGCGCTCTGGCCACAATGGAGCTGCGTTTTGCCCTCCTGTTGGCGGCTCTTGCTGGCTGCCTGCTTCCTGCCGGGGGCTGTCTCATATGTGACCCGGCGGTCGTGGCAGCGCTAAAGTCCTTGGAGAAGGATTACCTGCCTGGCCACCTGGATGCGGAGCATCACAAAAACATGATGGAAAGGGTGGAGAAGACCGTGAAAGATTTCGGGAAACTGCCCTTAAAGGAGAATTCCTATATAGGGGCTGTTGGTGAGGGCAGGACGGAGCGCGGACTCCAGGGTCCTGGGCCCAGGGGCAGAAAGGAACTGGGGGCAGAGTCTCCGGGGTTCGGGAATGGAGAAAGTTGGGACGTAGACTTCCGGGTTCACCAGGGCTAGCAAATACTGTATTTCCGTACTCCCTCATCCAGCAATTTTACGTAGTAAGACTACAACTCCCAGAAGGCAACGGTCGGCTAATTACTTAACCAGTCCTATCCTTACAGAGTGGCCTCATGGGTATTGTAGTTTCTAAGACTAGGCGAGCCAATGACAGTAACACTGGAATCGGGTTCTGTCTCCCACCACAGATGAGGCCACACTGGAAAAGGCGTCCTGGAGTTTGCTGAAGGATCTGAAACGCATCACAGACAGCGATGTAAAAGGTAAATACACAGAGGGGGCGGGAGAGGGGCTTCTGCTCTTGAGAGCAGGGAAGCCATTCCTGGTGATTCTTGGTCACATACTGGGCTCTAGAGTTAGATTGCCTAGGTTCAAATACCAGCTCTGCCACTTCCTAGCTCTGTGGCCTCTTTTCTTTCTTTCTTTCTGTTTTTGGCGCTGGCCAGTATGGGGATCCGAACCCTTGACGTTTGTGTTATCAACACTCCGCACTAATCAAATGAGCTAACTGGCCAGCCCGTGTGGCCTTGAGTAAGGAACTCCACAGCTTCCTCTGCTCTAAAATGCTTTGTAATGAAAATAAATAAATAGGCTGGCCGTTTAGCTCACTTGGGAGAGCGTGGTGCTGGTGGATCCCTGAGCCAGCTAGCCCCCAAGTTAATAAATGAATGAATGAATAAATAAATAAATAAAATGCTCTAAAACAGAACCCATAACAGTGTCTTCATCCCTCAGTTATGAAGATTACAACGTGTATTGCTTAGCACAGTGACCTGCATTGTATTAAGTGTGCAATTCCAGTGCTCTTCCCTGAGAAGGCCAGAAAGTGGAATGGTAGGCTTTGCAGACAGAGGCAAACTTCCGGCACCTCACACCTAGGACTGGCAAGGGGTGAACACTTTGCACTGTCCTGCTTCTTCTAGGTGAGCTCTTCGTGAAGGAGCTATTCTGGATGTTGCACCT